AAAATACAATGAATGGTCACGAGTCCTCCTTTGTGACGCCAATGCACGACTAGGCAATATTTCCACCACTCATGTTGGTGATTTTCAGGCTGAAGTCGAAAACCGTCACTCAGAACATTTCCGTACTTTTCTGCAACAGCAAGGTATTTGGTTGCCCTCCACTTTCAGTCAATGCCAGGTTGGTCCAGGTGGTACATGGTAACATTCTAATGGAGACTGGAAACGTGGTGACTATGTCGGCCTCCCTGTTCAATGGTGTTTCGATACCTGTCAGGCATTTGTACACACCGAAATTGATGTTTCTACGATTAAGGAGGACCACAGGGCAGCCATTGTTCAGTTTGAAGGACCAAGCCCGTTCGGCAGACCCCGGCATAGATCGCCTCAGAAGGTTTTGCCTGAGATTGCCATTGATGCCCTGAATCCCAATGCTTTTGCGCGGATTATTCAGCCTGATTTCACCGTTGATGTTCATTCCCATGCCCATTCATTGGAACAGCAGATTTTGCAGACGTGTATCCCACGCTTACCTAAGCGTACTAAACATCCTCGCAAAGAAAGTATGTCCTGTGAAACATGGCAGCTTGTGCTCTCAAAGCGTGATTGGAGGAAGCATTTATGGGATGCACAAGGCCTCCAAAAACGTACGATACTGCAGGCTTGCTTTAAAGCATGGCATGATCTACCTGAGGTGACTTATTGGCAACCTATTTCCTGCATACTTCGTCAGCAAGATATTTTGATTGCTCAGGCCATCTCCTATCTTTACTGGCTTGGTAGAAAGGTTGTTAAAGCCCTGCGACATGATGATGTGGTCTTCTTCAGCAAGCTTGCCCAAGAAGCAGGCTCATTTGTTCATCCTCGGCAGGCTAAGCACCTTTGGAGAGTTATTAGGCGCTCCTTACCTAAGTTCCAGCAACGCAGACTTCAGGCCCCACCTGAACAGCTTGAGGCACTCGAAGAGCAATGGCACCCATACTTCCAACAGCTCGAAGCCGGTTGTTCAGTGGATGCAGCTAACCTGCTTACTGCATGCCATCAATTTCAACTTGCACAGGGAAGTGTTCAGAAAGACTGCTCTATTTATGACCTTCCGTCTTTGCAGCAGATTGAGAATATGTTCCGTTGTACATCGCCTGGCAAGGCAACTGGGCTTGATCCCATTGCTTCCGGACTATTCCATGCCTTCCCTGCTGAGACGGCAAGGTTATTTTTCGATCTCTTCTTGAAGATATATACTTGGCAGGCCGAACCATTGGCCTATAAAGGTGGTATCATGGCGGTTATTCCTAAACGGCTTTGTGCTACCGCTGCTAAGCATTTCCGTGGAATTATGCTGCTACCATCAGTAGCCAAACGCCTTCATGCCTTGCTGAGAACATCCACCGTTAGCCTTATTGAGCGGATTAAACCAGCTGGACAAATAGGTGGTTTCCAACACCAGCAGGTCGGTTTTGCTTCACAGGCGCTGCGCACATTTTGCCGAATCATGCAAACCAAAGGGTGCAGCACAGGGGTCCTTTTCATTGACCTCTCTAATGCCTTCCACCGCCTGGTGCGCGAGCTTGTCTGTGGTACTAGCATTAGTTCTGATGTCCAAGATGTTCTTCAAGTTATTGAAAATGGAAATGGAACCACTGATGGCTTACGAGCATGGTTGAAATTGCCAGGGCTCCTTGAACGCATTGGGGCTTCGCCTCTTTTGGTGCAGCTCTTGCGAGATGTGCACACTAATACATGGCATACTATTGCTGCACGCCCCGGCATCACCCGTACGCGCCGTGGCACGCGGCCTGGAAGCCCTCTTGCTGATATTGTTTTCCATGTCTTGATGATGGACATAGTCATTGAGATCAACACGTGGATCGATCGCCAAACTTGCTACCAAGCACTTCTTACGCAGTTTGATGTTCATTTTGATACCATTGTGTGGAGTGATGACTTAGCGATTCCATGGTGTACACGACAGGCTGATGAGCTTGTCCCTGCTATCCGTGAACTTCTCCGCACTGTTGATCGTATTTTCACCAGACGTGGATTTGATCTTAACATGGATAAAGGGAAGACCGGTGCTGTGCTTACCTTTCATGGGGCAGGATCGCCTGATCTGCGTCGAACATTTTTGCTCACCGAACCTAGTGGTTTTCATTGTTTGCTCGACCATGATAGACAGACCTGGTTGCATGTTTCTGCGTCCTATCGCCACCTTGGCACCCAATTTGCTAGTAAGCCTGACTTTGCTGAAGAACTTCGTTTCCGATGCGGGCAAGCCGCTTCTGCTTTTGGTGCCATGCGCAGGCAGGTATTTTGCAATAGGCATATTCCTGTGGCTACCCGACTGCAGCTCTTTCATGCTTTGGTTTGCACTCGCCTCTACTTTGGCCTAGGGGCCTGGGCAACCCCATCAACGAGCCAACTTAACCACATGAAAAAGATCCTGGTTGGTTTCCTGCGGAATATTTTAAATACTGGTTACCGTAAGACCATGGAGAAGATGACTGATGCACAAGTGTTTGCCCAGACGCATTTCCTTGAACCGCGCATTAGACTTGCGCAAGATAGGTTGTTATATGCACATAAGATCTTCCAACATGGACCTGGCTTTGCACAGCGCCTGCTCCATATGGAATTTCAATATATGTCGCAATCCTGGATCAGTGGCCTTTTTGCTGACATTGTTTGGCTCCGTGATGTATTGCCGGATTGTGTCCCTGAGGACTGGACACACACGCTTACTGGAGCAATTGAGTTCTGGCAAAGTGGGGCACCAGGATGGAAGGCCATGATTAAACGAGCCGGGAAGAGGCATCTTTTTCAAGAAGCTATGATGGCTGATGTTTTCTCTTGGCACCGACAGCTCTTTCGTGTTCTGGGAAATTACGGGGCTACCTTTGACCCGCCTTTCTTTGGTAAAACAGTTTCCGAATGCGATTATCATTGTGCCTGTGGTAGACATTTTGATACCGCTCAAGGGTTGGCCACACACAGGAGAAAAGCCCATGGAATCTTTTCGCTTGAGCATGACCTGCTTAATGGTGCTACTTGCCCGGTCTGCATGGTTCATTTTTGGACTACTCAGAGACTCCAACAACATTTGTCATATATCTCCAGACGTACTGGGCGTAATGCTTGCTATCAAGTGCTACGGAAGAGTGGCTATGCTGTTGATTATGAGCGTGTCCATTTTCCCTCTCGAGTAAGAGGGCTCAATCGCATTGAAGCGATACCATGCGAAGGCCCACAAGGCATTTTTTCACCTGTGCTGCAAACGCAGATTGCCAATTGGCGTCAAGAAATCAACTCTCTCTTGAGAGATTTGGATAATATCACCTTGCCGCCAGACCCGGTGCAATCTGTTAACTTGCTCTGTGATGGGCTTACAAGCACCACTCGTGATTGGTTTCAACGATTCTGTGATCATTCTCATGATTTAGTGGCTGTTGGACCACTAGAGGACCATTGGTTTGACTACCTTGCCACGTGGCCCCATGAATTGGATGATTGGTTTGCTGATGAATTCCTACACTGGGGTCAGACACATTTGCAGGATTTGATTGCCGAATTTGTTGATGGAGAGGCGGAAAGCATTGCAGATGAGGCCTTTTATGAAATCTCCAAAGATATGCCACGATGCCAGATGCGTGATCGTGTGACTTTCCTTAACCGTTGCATTGCCCGGGCCGAAACAGAGCTTGCAATCGATGTGCAACATCGTCCGCCTTTTGATGCAGCTGCTGTAGCCCGTGCGAGAGCACGTAAAGACGATCCAGATGCTATTTTCACTACCTATCAGCAACAAACAGACTGGCACAATGAGGTGCGCAAGATTAAGTGGAACACGCTACCCAAAGATGCTGCCACACCCATGACAGATGGGATTTTGGCTAAGCCGATCTTCTTGATTGTTCACCTCTTCAGTGGAAGGAGGCGTTCTCATGATGTTCATTGGCATTTGGCTAAACTGGCAGAGGAGAGAGGCATTGAGGTAGCTGTACTCTCCATGGATACAGCCGTTTCCCCGTATTATGGGGATCTAACGGCATCATCAGTTTCATGGCAGAAGCTTGCACACCTATATGAACAAGGCCTTGTTGCAGCAACAGTATGTGGTGCCCCCTGTGAAACCTTTTCGGCAGCTCGACACGTTCCACCACCTGATGACTTGCCGGACAAAGAGAAGCTGCGGTGGCCGCGGCCACTAAGGACATTTGCACGGCTGTTTGGCCTTGATGGCCTACGACCTAAGGAACTACGTCAATGCCGACAAGGTAGTGCCTTTATGTTTCAAGCATTTATGGCATGCACATGGCACCTTGTATTGGGTGGGCTTTTTCTTAGTGAGCATCCAGCCCCCCTGCTGACACTGACAAAGCCTCTGTTTGGACCAGTGCCTTTATCCAACTTCTCAAACACCATCCCGATTTTGCCCTGAGAATCTTTGACCAATGGAGATGGGGAGCACCTGTGCGGAAGCCTACAGGACTTTTTTTTCAGTCTGCGCCTACCGCATTTGGCGCGCTCTATGTTTGCTTGTGCAGATAAAGGAGCAAAGTACCCAACCGAGACTGCCATTGGGAAAGATAAGGACGGCAATTTCAAAACTGCGGTTTGTAAAGAGTATCCGCCACTTTTTGCTGCTGGGATGGCCAGAGCTATTGTCGACCAACTTTGTACAGATAGGCGACAATTTGCCTGCCACCGTTTTGCCTCCCTGGAACTTATCCCCCTGAAAGCTTGGGTCTGTGAAGCACTTGAGGCTAGCTCACAGATGTATGAGCATAGCACTCACTTGCCGGACTACCAAGGGGTTTGAGTCTTTGTATAGATTTTCCCTAATTAGAGAATTCTGCAAGTGGCGACAAGAGCTGGACTCTTCACTGCCGAGGAAATTGGAAAAAAATGGAAATAGATGCCCCGCATATGCCCGGCTATACATGGACTATCCCCGACCATAAACCACATCCGATTCCTGGGTCCTGTTTGGGTCCCGTCCAAGACACACAGGGTGGATTTCGCCAGCCGCAATGGCTGCCTCCACTTCCTGTCGCCGTTTCACCGCTGCAGCGGCCGCCGCCGCCATGGCGGTCTCGCGGTCCTCGCGGTCCTCGCAGGCCGGGGCCTTCGGGGCCTTTTGGGGCCTTCCGGGCCTTCGCCCGTAGGTGGAACCGCAGCTGATGAGCCCACATTTCTGCAGCGATGGATTGGTTTGAGATGGTTTCAGGGGAAATCTCATATGAAAATCAAAACTAGACACCATGGTTTTTGCAATAAAATATGATGTTCCTGTACATCTTCCCGGAAATCAATCCAATGAGGAATGAGATTGTACTTTTATATCTTTTGTGTGGTTAACCTGGCAAACCCGACAACAATTCAATATTTACTTGACCAACCATCCCCCATGTAAAATAAACCATTTGGGGGTATCAAACAAATACCCAAACATACCCACAATGGGTTTTCTTGTTGGGTTTTCTCACCTGAAATCCACAAATCTACTGCAGGAATCGATGATGCCATTTAGATGACCCTCCCACTTGGTGCAGCTGGTGAGCGAACTCTACAGGCTTCAATCCGTGGTTCATATGGTAAAGCCACCAGTAAAGCACCCCCAACTCAACCAGAAATGGATTATATATATATATATATATTATGTATAAAATAATCTAAAGGTAATCCCATCCCCGTAAAATAAATAAAGCACACCCTAAATGATTCCAAATATGTGTAAATCCTCATGAATGCATAGTTTAAGAGGGGATATCTATTAATATTTCGGGGGAAGGGATTACAAAGAATCACCAATTAGAGGTACATGATTGGGTTTACCATGGTTTACCACATTCCTTACTTACAAAACCACCTTTCTGGACGGTCACCCCGGGACAACCCCCCATGCCAAGCTTTGGACGATGGGGACCTGGGCAGGTCTGGACTGGAGATTCTATCTGGTGCCTTTTTCTATCCTTTTTCATAGAGGTTCTTCATTCGAACACAGTTAAATCAGTTAAGATGCACCATGAATCGCATGAATGGCAGGAAATATCTTTATTCTTCCCCTCATTCATTCCATTTGATTTTCATCCGCTCTACCTGTGCAGGTGAAGGACACACTATGCGTTCAAGAGATCGTCATACCCTCCTTGCTAGACCGCTAGTAGGATTACACATATCGCACACCCCATTCTTGGTTCAAAATCGTCATAGCCCTCTTGGTTCGGGTCATTTCAACCATCTTCTCCTTAATTCAGTGGTTTGTTTATATAGAGGCAAAGTTACGGGAAACCAGGGTTCTTCCTCCAAATATAGGGGTTTTCATGGGTTTCCGGTTTTCAAAAATCATGTAGAATTAGCCAAAGAACTTTGGGATTCATATTCCCTTCCCAATATTTCCCAACTCCTTGGGACCAAGGGACTGGATTTCAGTTCTGAAGCAACCTTTGGACCTCGGAGGGCGCGCGCGCGCCCGCGCGCCGTACTCGCGCCAGATGATTGTTTCTGGCAGTTGTAATCTAGATCATGAACTATCAGCTATCACACACACACATACAATATACATATATAATCATTTTTATAACAAAACATATTATTATTGTACGCCTATTTTTGTGTAGTATATCTATACATACACAAAATATGTTCTCCATTTTCGCAGCAGATCAGGAAGCCAGTGGATCAATCAGCCACCATCTCTTGAGATCAAGGAACGACCTACGCGAAGGTTTCCGGCCAAGTATCATCAGCGAATAGTTTCCAGCACCCAAAGCACCAAAGTCGCAGTCAGAGGTCCAAAGATCGCAATCAGAACCTCCATTGGCTGGTGGGGTCCATGGATCCAAATAAAGATTGACAGCAAAAGCATATCTGAAAACCAATGACAAGCCCATTCACATATTTGTTTGGACACATTTTCAGGTTTTGGCATTTTCCCTTGGCAAAGAATGGCGAATGGGGTAGGATCTCTGAACATCAGCTGCACCATTACCCTTCATCACTCGTGGCAATGGAACACCCCTCATTTAGATTCAGTTAATTAGTTCGGTGATTTTCCCATCCTAAAATTCCCATTTAGTTCGGGGATTTCCGTGCAATCGCCATGTTTGATGACACCGGTTTGTATTTATACCCATCTTCCATGAGTATCCCATGATGGTCCCAGTATTATCCCATGATTATCTCATGATTCTCACAATTTCACCGGAGGGTAGGATCACTCTCCCTGCAGCACCCCGCCGTCATGTGAAATACCCACGCAGCTGGACAGCTGAGAGCATTCCAGTTGGCATAGCTTCACCTGGAAGCCAATGGAAATGATAAACAACTAGCTGTATGAGCTAGAGCTGGAGATAGCTGAAGTAAGAATTTGGCATACTTTGTTTTTTTCCTCCAGTCACGTGCTAAGTAGATGGGCATCATAGATCATCTTTGTTTCAATGTGACTTCTGTGACTACTGTATATTCTGCATATTCAGTTGAAGAATGTTGAAGACTTGATTTCATATGCCAGGACGAGACAGGTGCAGCTTTATGGCACCACAACCAAGAAACACTCGCTGAAGCTGCTGAAGCAGCAAAAAAGACAGAGCTTCAACAAAGTAATTGGCCAATGATGTTTCTATTTTCCTTTAATGCGACAAACCCAATGTAATTAACCCAATAATAATCCCCAATTATCACCAGAAATGGGTAGTAATTAAATGTAATTGATGATGGTCTATTAAGCACCAAAAATGATGGGTTTACGATTAGGCTTCCGTTACCGCATTATTTCTGGTGCTTTTCCATTGTTTCCACCACCTGCGGCAGGAGGGAAATCCTGCAGTGGCCCAGTGACGCTCAAATCCGAGCGCCGCGGATCTTGCGGCTCACCGAAGCGACCTACAAGACACCCACAGGAGGGAAGACCTGGATGGATACACACCTGAAATTTCGTATTCACTGGATTGATTCTGAAGACAAGCCTGCAAAAACCATATGTTTTAACATCCAAAGCATCCAAACTTGGGGTCTTGACATGAATGTTCCAAAACACTCATTCCGGGAGATATGAAGCCCGAAACACACACACACACTAGATAAGAATCGATCATTATATGATCCGGCAGGAACTGAATCCTGAAACATGCAGATTAGATACGAACCAACGAAATTAACGATGCACCCTACGAATAATGGAAGTTCTCCTGGATGGTTTCCATGGCCAAGATCGTCATCAAAAAATTATATATCGGCGACGTGGTTTTGACAAAATAATCCAAATACATCGGCGACATGGTATCGGCGAGATAATCCAGAAAATCAAAAATACCGTCGGCGACATGGTTTCGGCGAAAAACTGAGGAAGGTTCTGATGCATAAAATACAGATTGTGGCAACCGTGGAGAAATAAAATCATGGTGTTGGGGTACTTGGCTTAGCCCCTCGCCATTCACACGCAATGATTGCAAAATAATGAATACGACAGCTTGTTCAACAGTTCAAAAAATCGCAGGTACGTTTTCACCCCCATGCTGTCTGGTCTTCGTTGGCCAGGACAGACAGTCATGGGTTCCTGGCCCCCTGCAAATGTGAGAAGATTAGAACAAAAGAAGTTTTACATCTGTTCAGATGTTACACACACACACACCCCGCATGTAGCGGGGTTTGATTATTTTGGAAGAACATCGCGGCTGATGTCGGCAGAACCAATCAAATCCAATAAGGCTACACGGTGCTAGTGTACATAGCCGCGGTCATTCACTCAGAAGGGAAATTCGCTTCGAGTTGAAGTATTTGGATCGCGTCACGGAAGCTCATGCCTTCAACCATCCTCCACGTGTCGTTGATTTCCCCAGATGCCATAGCGGCCGTCAAAGTGGCTGAAAGTTGTTTGGCCAGCTCCTGGATCTTCGTAGTTAAGCGGGTTGCCTCCGTAGGAGAAGTGGTCTCAATGGGAACATTGTGAAAAGGATGGTGCCCATGTACTAGAGGAATCTCAAAGTGATGGCGCCAATAATCCGCAGTGCGCAGGGACCACTCCCAATTGCCCGAAAGACCATAAAAGTAGTGCTCGGGATCACGACATTTGGAGAGCCCCGACATGGGGATCTCTTCGATGAATAACTCCCTGGTATTGTTGGAGTGGGTAATGATCTTGAAGTGGATCTGGTGGACCACGCGTGATGAGAAGTGAGCACGATGGAAGAAGTTGTAGGTAGGACTTGGCTCAGTCGGGAAAGGAACATCAGGAAGTGCAGGGCCTGAGTATGTATCGGTGTGGGGCGTGGTTCCGATGTCGTTGGTTGTAGTGTCAGCTGCCGAAGGTGCCGAGGTGGTCGAGGTCGTAGGGTCAGGGGCGATAGAGTGACATAGTTCAGAAGCCTGGCCATCTGACACTGGATCAAGGGCTGTGGAAGCGAGTCCACGGTTGGGATTCGAAGGCCAAACCAAGCCCGCCACGGTAGCGTCACGTTTATGCTCCATGGGTGAGACGGTCAGAAAATGCGTTAAATGGCAAAACCAAAGGCTGAGGAATCAGGAAAATATAAATAAGCCGAGCCCGAGAATAATAATAGTAGTAATATCCAATGGTCAATCCAATTGTTCTGAATCCACGGAAAGAGCAATGCACGGAACCTAAAGTGGTGGAAATGAATCGAGAGGCGAAATTCCAAAGAGTCCGCCGTGTCAATAAAGTGTCATGGATGAAAGGAAAAGAACAAGTCGGGCATTTTCCTGTTCACCAGTGAAGCACATCAGGGTAGGATAACTCCAGGGCTAACTTTATGGCATCTCAGACGTAACACGAAAGGCTGTGAGGTACCTGGTACGAGCAAAGTGGATTCGATGTAGTTGTACTGCCGGATTCGCCAGTCAGGACGGTATTCCTCCAAAAGCTGCATGACAGTCCAATCATTGGGAACTTGGAATGCATCACCTTCCAGATCGCAATAGCGAAACTCCAAATTCGAAGGGTCAAATTGGATGTCCCATTGGGTCCTCAATCTTGTTGTGATGGCGGGACGTAGGTCTCGAATGGGAAGAATGCCTGCTTCAATTGGTTCCAGCTGGCGTGACCAGGTAAAAAGAGCTTCAAGTTCGCCTGCACTAACATTCTTGAAATTTGAATTGGCAAGAGCCATGTAGAGATCACGGTCAGGTTCACTACGGTGTGTCAATCCCTGTAAAGGAGAGTAGTCAACTA